GCCTGCGCCCGCCGGTGTGTCAGCGACAATCAAGCACACGAAAACGGCAGGACGCACCTGTGTCGACACGTCGTGCTTCTCGCCGACCGCGGGCAGGAACGGGCTGTGCTCAGCGAGCGCGACGGGCGGCGTCAGCGCCGCGAGCTCCCTGATGTGCGCCTCTGCGACGTGGTCGTCGATGCGTTGGTGCGTGTTCCAGACTACACTCCCACATTAGCTCAGCCACACACAACCAGGTGGTAGTGCAACGTACATATTGCCAGCTCTGCGTCAACGCCTTCGTCAGAATGGGCGCAGACAGAAAGAGGCAAGGAAACCCACCATCTGCAGGACTGACGCTAATGCACTCCACGAACTTCGCCGGGTCTCCGCCGCGCCTTTTCTGCTTCTCCTTGTAGAACTCCACTATATGTACGCCGCGTTAGTACTGAATGCAAGAGACGCGAAGAAAGGGAAGGGACACGCACCCTTCTTCCGAATAAGCACCTCCGTCGGCAGATCCTTCCCGCCCATCTTCTTCCGCGAAAGCAGATCCGGCAGCGCGTCGAGCAGCTCCTGCGCCTTGGCGCGGTTCCCCAAAGACACGTAGCACCCCGTCGCGATGAAGTAGTACGTTGCGTGCGACCTGGCGAGGGTCGCGTTAGTTTAGAATTCAAATATACGCGCTGGGGAAGCGAGGGGTGGACAGACGGCGAGGGACGGCCACGGAAGGTGGGACAAGAAGAGAAAACACACCAAGAATTAAGCTCCGTAAGCTTCAGGAACGCGTCCGCCGCCTCCTGGTACCGGCGCTGCGCCAGCAGCGTCCACGCCAGCTCGAACACTAGCTGTGTACATAAAATTACCAAGTGAGCAGGGCCTCCGAGGTGAACGAGGAAGTGAACGCGGAAGAGAAGGCAGGAAGGCAGAAGGAAAGGAAAGGAAAGGAAAGGAAAGGAGGACGCACGAGCGTATCCGCCTGCACGAACGTCTGCGGCGCCTCGAGCGCGCGCTGCAGCACCGCGATCGCGCCCTGCGCGTCGTTGGACATGCGCAGGATCTTGGCCTGTGAGTTGTGCCATAGTCAGCATCCGAATTATAGAGCAGCAGTGAGAGGGCAAATAATAGCGTTGTCCATCAAGGAGCAGACAATAACGCTGTCCATCCAGTAAACGCAGTGTCAGTGCTCAGACGAGCGGCTGAAGGTTTTTTGGGGGGGGGAGCAGGAAGGACGCGAAGGAAAGAAAACAAAGCGCCCACTCACCCGATTCAAAATCCACAGCGCCCCCGTCGGGTAGCGCGCCTCGATCCTGGAACATAATTAGCATCGTACCCATGTCCTCTCGCGCCCCGCACATCCGCTACGTCGCAAAAGGGAGCAGGGAAAACGTGTACACAGGAAAACGGAGAAACGAAAGAAGGAATGCAAACTCACGAATCCACAATAGCGCGATACATCCTGAGCGTGCGCGCCTCGTCCGCCTGATACCCCGCGAGCAGCAGCACGACGCCGTGGAAGGTCATCAGCACGAGTCTGTGGTAGGTCCGCATTAGTAAGGATGCGCGTCAATGTACAAATGGTATGAGTAACGAAGAGAATGGAGCGATGCGCGAATGAAAGAAATGGCGCGAATGATGTGGGGATGCAGATAAGGAATCGAGGGCGGGAGCAAATTAAAAGGGAAGGTTAGCGAGTCAAGGGGGAATTGTGTGTGAATAACGACACGTCAATCGGCACGCATGACAAAGTGAGAAGAGATGGGCGAAAATGAGGAAGACCGAACAGAACAGAAGGACGAGAAGACGGGACACGCACCCAGCAAACACCCCATGCACGTCCGTCCCCGCCGCCCCGCCCGTACTCGTCCCGTCGTCGAGCGTCGTCACGCCCGCGCTCACCTGCCATATGAAGGAATGGGATCAGCATCATGAACAGCAACAGGGTCGATCGAGAAAATGGAGGGAATAGAAAAGTGGGACCTGCCAGCAGATCACGCAGGCAACGAGAAGGAAAGGCCTCTCGCTTTCGACGGGCACGACCATAAAATCGTCCGTCATAGAACCGAACTCCTCGGCGCTGGAGAGTCACTTCTCGCATCGCGTCCACTCAGACGAAACATCGCAGAGCCATGCGTTGCAGAATAAAAAAATAAAACTAAAATCCAACTCGACCTCGGGCCAATGAACGCAGAGGGGCGGGGGGGCTGTCCTGGGCGCAGAGAACGCCCCGGGACGTGCTCCCAACCACAGAAACACGCCTCGGCGCGGGTCCAACATGCTTCGCTTCTGTCGTACACGCGCGAAATAGAGCAATCCACCTCGAAACTCGAGCGGCGCCGCACGCACGAAGGCGTGTCCGCGCGTCCAGCTTGGAAAAAGATCACCCCGCGGAAAGAACAGCACTCAACGTCAAGCTCATTGACGTAAAGGCGCCTCCAGCCACGACAGGCCTCGGGACGCGAGAACAGAACCAAAAGGGCGCCGCGGCAATGCAGCCCGACCCCGAATACCACCCCCGACCCCGGCGTCAGATGTCGCAGCGCCAGCCCGCCAACGAAGACATCCCAAAGCCCAAAGCCCAAAGCTCAAAGCTCAAACGCAAGGCCCTCCACTCTCCGCGCTGCGCACTCCGCACGGCAGGACAAAATCGGACAAGTCAGCGCGCGGGCCCCGAATCAGCGCGCGCACACGACGTTACGGAGCTCTCGCTGACGGCGCGCGCCACCATAGCCTCCGCATCCGGGACGACATGGCATGACATGAGTACGGAACGCACCCCGCGTACAGAACGGATGCGTAGTTGCACGGACGCCGCCTCCGCCCGAGAAGATCACGAGATGACGGGGGAACCCCACTCCAGGACCCCGTCGAACGCCGACCGCTGATGCAGACTGCGTGCCTCTCGGCCAGAAAATATCGCGCGCAGGAGCCCAAGGAGGACGACAGCACGCCGCACGCCGCTCTCCACACTCTCCTCTCAACGAGGAAAAAAAATCTCCTCCAAGAACACAAAAAAAGGAAGAAAAAACGCAGAGCAAGAGCGCGCGAAAACGCAAACCAAAGCGATAAACGCAGAGAAGAAAACGTCAAGCCAGAGTAGAGAAAAAGACGCACCGCCAACGCCCTTAGCGCAAGCGCGCGGTCGTGCTTGAACCCGAGGAGCCCCACGAGCGATCTGTGTGGCGTACGTCAGTCAGTCAGTCAGTCAGCTTCTGGTCGGGCAAATTTAGTCGGCCGACGTCATCGAGTCGGTCATCTGTCTGTCAGTGTGCGCGCGCGATATGCATCGCGAGCGACGAGCGCGAGTCCGCGTGAGGGACTAGTCGCGGGATGCAAAGCGCAACGCAACGCATAGGGCGCGACCATCCATCCGGATGAAAGACGCAAGATCGCCGCAATGACACGTAAAGCATCCAGCGCGTAAAGCAGGCGGATGGGGACAAGAACAGGAAAGGATAGGAGGAAGGCACTCACTGCACCTTCTTCGGCAGGAGCGAGAACACGAGGTTGAACAGCCCGAACCCTGTCATCGATGTTAGCATGTGTCCGTTCGCGGAGAATGCGTGCGCCGTGAGGGGCGCCGAGAAGGACAGAAAAGCGGATAGGAAGGAAGGAACGGATAGCAAGGAATGGATATGAAAGTAGAGAAAGAACGCACCGAACGCCGTCCCCGCGACGATCATCTCCTCCACGGGCCCCTCCGCGGGGCGCTCCGCCTCGAGCCGGTCGCGCGCGGCGCGCGCTTGGGTTAAGCGGTCCTGGGCGTGTGACGTCAGTATCGTGCTCGTTGTCAGTTCGTCCCCCGGCGAAGAGGGAGTCCTTCCCCGGGCGAAGAGGGAAGCGGAAAGAAGAGAGAAGAGAAGGGAGAGGAGAGGAAAGAGATAAACACACCTGCTTCTCGCGCTCGCCCTTGGACAGCACGCTGACGCTGCTCGAATTGCCCCACCGGCCGAAGAACTTGGACACGCCCGCTACGGGGGAGGGCAGCGCGAGCGTCGCCGTGCTCGCGTTCGCGCTCGACGTGATCGACGCACTGGCGCTCCCCGTCACACTCTCCGCCGGGGTCGCACTCGCACTGGGGAACGCCGAAGTAATAGGCGTAGCACTCGGTGTAGGGAGAGGAGAGCGGTACCCCTCGAGCCCGCGGGGGAACACCGTCTTCCACAGCTTGGTGAACTTGCCGTGCGCGGCGTTGAGCGCGTACATGCACTGGAAGTAGCCCATGTACGACTCGCTCAGCGCGTGCGTGAGGCCGAGGAGCACGACCGCGTCCGCGTTGAGGATCTCCCACTCAAGCCCCGGGGCGAAGCGCCCGTTGCCGTCGCCCCGTCCTTCTCCGCTACCACCCGCCCCCCCTTTATTCGAATTCGCGCGCTTGGCGTCCGCGGCGGCCTTCCGCGCGCCCGCCTCGCTCAGCGTCAGGAGCCGCGCCGCCTCGCCCATGAGCCCGCTCTCCATCCCCAGCGCGGCCTCGAGGAACGCGCACACGCCGAGGCCGAGGAGGTGGAACGGAGTGTCGGCGGACTGGAAGGCGGTGCGCGCGGGGGCGATCTGGTTCGCGAAGAGGGCGTCGAAGCCCGCGTTGGCGGAGGCGAGCGCGAGGGCCGTGGGCGATGTGTCTGCCGGCGAGGAGGTCTTCGGGAGCGGCGAGGGCAGCGGCGAGGAGGTCTGCGGGAGCGGCGAGGAGCCGTTGCCCGTCGTCGAGGGTGTGGGGGACGGCGTGGAGAGGGCGGGCGGCGTCGAGTGCGCCGACGACGAGGACGGTGTGTCCATCGCTGCTGGTGGTGGCAATGAAAAGGACAGAGACTCGATTCGTCACGCGGCGGCAGCTAGCCGTCACACGTGCGGCCTCGCTGATAAATCGCGCTTAGTCACAAATTCGATCGAGTGCGCCCGCATTTGCGGGTAATGTGGGACGGGCTATTTAGTATTCTGGCTGCTGCCGTTCGGACCGAAGACAAAAAGGCAAGACAAAAGAATCTGAGAGCGAAAAAAAAAAAAACCTTGTAATCACACGCCCATGCCCCCGGTGGGATTCGAACCCACAGCTTCCTCAGAAATCTGAGCAGACAGGATAAATGAGAGAGGACGATCTACCGTTGATCCACAGGGGCTTCCATGTCCTCCGTAATGTCAACTGATAATCAAGACTGTGGAAATGTCAGTAGGTAAACACCCTCCTAAAATATATATATATTCTCCGATAACCTCGTATGCTCAGAGTCAATTTCCGAACCTTCGTTCCAGCAAGCTTCCTCGAATGAAGGGGGAAAAATGATTTACTGCAAATTTTTTATTTAATTGAGCCCACAGGTTCTCCCAAATTTCCTTCAAGTTCATACAAGATTATCACTGATTCTATTTCACTGGAACGACATTATTCAACGCTGTTAAACACTGCACCCACAAGAAATGCGGGAGCCTCACTCCCGCATAGATGGCGGACGCGTGGCAAGGCTCGAATCGTCCACCAGTGCAAGAGCTCCAGCAACATGGCTCTTGTTTCTTCTTCAATCAAAGCGCAAGCTGGTCATGAACTTCCTCGCTAATATTCATGTACATCAATCCCATTCCACTCGGGTACCCAACAAGCTCCGCAGATCTAGACTTTCCACTGTGCGGAGGACACGCCGTGGTGGGACCGCAAAAACAAAGAAATTGTGATGCACGATGCAACACAAGTCATTCATTCAATTTATTATTACTTATGATCCGATCCAACACGAAACCAATTCTGATCCTCCGGGCATGGAACTGAGCCCCGTTGCCTCCTCATTGTGACCTGGCTCACAATGATGTCTCTCTACCTACCAACTCCTTAGACTTTGAACACACCTTCCTGCACCATCTTCCTCCCACTCAGAGATTCGACTCACCACCGAGTTACGGTACACATTCAACCTGGCCAGCAACCTCCTCTTAAAGTCGCCCACACCCCGCGCTAGATACCCAATATCTGACTAGACCCGCGCAGTGCAATACTACCATTCGCCCGAAGGCCCAGTTCATGCGAGACTGTGGACTGGAAGACGGGTGACATATGTGAAGCGTAGTGCTTCACGTCGCCAAAAAGAGCTTCTCAAATTCGCTAATGAAATGCAGGTGGACCCCAGTTCACCAGGCGGGAACGGGCCTTCCTCCATATATATCACTGTACCACGAGTATGTACACGGCAGTCAAGCCGAAGATTTTGCGCGCGCAAATCGTGTTGTTCATGAACAAGAATTCGGACGCCGCGTTCTACACGTCGTTCGAGTACACCACTGAGCAGCGCGCCGCCATTTCGGTTCAACCCATATCCATAGGCCAGACGCATCGGCGGAGGAGCGAGCGCGATTGGGCGGCGCTCTGGACGGGTTACAAGTTGCGGGCGGCGTGGAGCGGGGGAAAGATAGAGGTACAACGGCTCGTGGTGGGCGAAGGGCCCAAGTCCCGAAAGGGTCTGCTCGTTAAGCGCTCAGCGAGCGGGGCTATATCCGAGGCACGGAATGTTATGGCGGCGGACTGCAATCCCACGGTGAGGATGGTGCGAGAGCTCCGGGATGTGGTCGCCTTGGATGTGCTGGAAATTCACTAGTTGTGCTGCCTTCGATATTTACACATCTATGCATCGTTCTCAGTATATGCAACCTCATTTCACATCTAAAGCAGTGTGATGAATTTTGAGTATACTCCACACTTGCTGAGGAATCGCAGTGGGATGTAGGCTGAGACGAATAACGCATGGTGTCGGCAGAGTCGGTGCGAAGACTCTGCGGCTTTCTACCTTATTTGTGTTTGGCATCACTCCACATGAATTGTAAGACACTCCAGAGAGTATCAATTACGGCCCGCTTCAGAGCGCGGATACTGTCAACGATACGGTGATTTTACTGCTCCAATGTGCGCCTTACGCCGCTGTGCCGCACAAATCGGCGAAGCGGCGATTTGGTGCCGCATCGGCATATCTCAGCCAGTTGTTTCTCCCAGAATGCAATAGCTTGTAGCGGAGGGTCAGGAAATTTCTGGTTACACAATACTTGAGTCCCGCACAGCGAAGTAATGGGGATGAAAATTCACCGAAAGCCAGTCCAACGCGCGGAAGGCGGCTTCATGGACTTCATAAGTACCTGCCGGATGTACGGAGAGCTGATCACAAAGTTGGGCCAGATTGAGGGTCTCCATCGCCATGAGAATTTTTCGACTACTCCGGCACTGCTCAAGGAGCTCTAGCCACACCCTAGGCTATTGTTTAGGTAAAAACCGTCCAATAGAGAATGTTGCTTACAGGGAGAACCCGAGGTTAAGCTCAGCAAGACACTCTTTGGCATGCTGAAGCCAAAGAAGCACTATCTCCTCCGCAACATCCTGAGGGCCAGAATACAAGCATCCGGCTCTATGAGGATCCCTGAGAAAATCGACGGGTGAGTCCCCATCGGGAAAATGTCCAAAAACACGGTTGTCGTTGGAGAATGGTACTTCGAGGAGTTCGCGGACTTCCGGGTGTTCAACAAACGGCCGAAAAACTCGGAAATCATGGGGCGGTCCCATGAACTTGAGAACGGAGAACAGTGGATCAGGCACAATTATTTGTGAGTTTAATATGAAAAGAAGGTCCGTGTGTTGGGAGAATATCTGGGCGTAGATTGAATCAAGCTTCAAGGTCGGACGGCGGAGAGTCTGAGACTGTCTCTTGTAGTTGGGCTTGTGCTGAATGAAGGTTGCAATGAGCTGGTGCTCTTCCCAAAGTTGGATGAGATCGGACGGGTAGTGTGAACCCCTCTATGGGCAATAAGCCTACAGAATAAGGACGATCTCAATGATGTACCTGAGGCCATGGAGGCAAGTGACGTATTGGCGAGGGGAGAAAAAGGGAGTCTTGGACCTCCTGGTTGCGTAAGAGACTAATCAAGGTGTCCGAGGGGACGGTTTGGCTGAGGAGGAGCGGGAGCATGCGAGCACAGCGGCTGATGGGACGGTAAGTTTATGTGGCATGCACAATGAGGTGTCTCACATGTGTAAATGCCTTATCGCGTCGTTGGTTCGGGGAGAGGCCAGCAACCGGAGCGTGCAGGAGAGGTAATCTGACAGCAGCCACGGGATCCTTAGGCACCACTGCCCAGATCGTCGTACGTCGGCCAGGTAGTCAGGGAGCGACGCATGCAAAGGATGGACCTCAAGTTCCCTGTCGAATACAGTGCAGATTGGTGGGACATGTAAGATTGAATGTAGACCACGCAATGTAAGGCGAGCAGTGCCCGGACGGAAGACCAACAGCATGTCAATTTCTTCAGGGAACAACTGCGCCCCTCCGAGTGTTGTTTGCCAGATGGCATGCAGGATTCGGAGCTGCTGTGGTTCGTGAGATACGACTGAGAGAACCTCAGTATAAAGGTCATCGAGCGGGGCAGTACTCCGTGGATCGAGGCTCAAGACCGATGCTAAACGGTCCGCTGGGTGGGAGTATCCATCATCGATGAAGCGGATGACGGTGGAAGCATATACAAAGATCCCAGATGATTTTTCAACCAAGTGCTCGACCGCGGCGGGGGCTGGCCACATGGTTCCAAGGTCGACTCCTCTGGTCAAGTACTCTGTACGAATCCTGGAGAATTCATCCCGAAGATAAATTCCGATATCCTGGTAAGCAGAGTCATCGGCATAGAGCACTAAATGACGGCAGATCGCGAAGGTTTGGTCGGTTTCGAATATCTCGCGGATATGTGGCTCGGGGCGGCTGGTTATGAGAAGTCGCACGGGGAGTTGGCGGTCCCGAATCGCCCTGATGAACAGGCGGAGAATTTCCTGCTGAACCCTGTGGTCTTCGCACTCATCCAGGCCATCAAAGACAATGACGGGCATAATTCCCAGATCCCGTGTGCTGCTGAATGCCTCCACCAGGAGTTTGTGGAACTGGACTGTCATCGAGCGCCCCATTATAAGTCTGTCGGTCTTGACAGCCTTGCTAATTGAAAAGTGAAGTTCCGGCACTGATGTCGGCAATTGGTATGCAATCGTTGTGCATAGGCCATGCCAAGAACCACGCTTCGGATGCCTCCGCCTGAAGAAGAAGGATGCTCCAAGGCGGCCTTGAGCTTGGCAGTCGCCAGCAAACATCTGCGCGATGGCGGACTTGCCCATTCCCGCCGACCCGTGAAGCCATAGTATCGTGCTCTCAGAATCTCGGTCGATGGACCAAGATCTAAGCTCTTCCAATACCGCGGTTCGTGTCCCCGGGTGGCAGGCAGGTTCTGGGAATCGCTCTCCCGAGTCATGTAGCGCCTCCGCTACAACGGAGCGGTAAAGGATGTCCATTCCTTTAGCATGACATCAGTTGACGGCTTGCGCAAAGAAGTCAACCTGACACACCAGATTCACCGTATGAAGTTAATGCTCAGCCGCGTCATTTCGCCGCCCACGCTGCTATAGGTGTTGGAAATATTCTCAGGTTGGGATCTCTGACGCCTAGGGTCTGTGCGTGGAGGTGGCGCGAAGTCGCGGATCTCGTGGGCGGATTCCACGCCACTATCGACAGTAGCGGAGGGTGCTGGATTTCTATTACCACACACCCTGGGATAGTTCGAATTGGACAGCTCCGTTTCGTGCTGACGAGAGATAGTTGGTGTTCCTAGATTGATACTTCAGGATCATTACAGCCAAGTCCAGGTGGTGCGCACCGTCCAAAAGTCGTGGGTCCGCTAGCGAGTGGCTGGGGGTAATGTGGAAATGGAGGACTTGCGTCATATTGCCAGCAACATTGTTGAAGGTACCCCCGTCGATATGAGTACCGTTCAGAGCAAAGGACATGACGGTCGGACGAGAGGGGGGGGCGCTCGTGCAGGCTGTGCTGGGCGCTCGTGCAGGGAAGTGACCTACTACAGCCTTAACAGCTTCTTATACAATTTAAGAACGGGATCAGATGCCCTCATCAGCGCCTATTGTTTGGCGCCCAAGACCTATTTTCGCCACATCGTAACCAGCAAATCAGCCGCAAGATTAGGGAGAAGAGATGATTTCGAAATCAGAAATCGCGGTTGTGTCCCTCCGTGAAGTTTTCCTCGGCGCAGTTTTCCAAGGTGGCGCATTCTATTTCCGAGGTCGCAAGACTGGAGCAGCCAAAGAAAATACAAAGACAGCGGACGGGAGGACACCGGGACGTGCTTTCAGGTGTTGAGCATTCAATTTATCACTGGCGCAAGAAATTTCCATTATTAATAGCGAACGAGTAGACTCGTCACCAGTCTAGCGAACGAGCACAATCTTACCTTGTGTAGACCCAACTGGTAGTCAAGTGCCTGGAAATCAAACAACTCCCAACTGCCAGTGCGTTTTGTTCGGCTGGGGCACGCGTCGCATGCGATTGAAGGGTTCAGAAGGGCGGTTCATAAAGCCAGGCGATGGCTCCGCATCTTGTGCCGGCGGTGCCCAGAGCTCGTCGCGGGCAGCGGAGGATGACACTCGATCAACGTTTATTTCGCGGCTGGGATGCTCGCGGGGGGTGGGAGGTGGATGAGCAGTAGGATTGGGGTACCACGCAGTCAGTATCGCAAACTCCCCGCGACGCACCGCGCGACGAATGACCCGCTACGAAGTGCGATTCCACAGCCCGATGGACTCTTCCGAACGTGGAACGCGGGATGCGCAAGCCAGTATGCAAGCCGCGGCCAGCTTTTTGAAAGCAAGGAACTGCAGTAGAGCACACGATCGACAGTGGACGAGGATGCATTAGGCATGAACTCTGCGGTAGGACGAAAGGCTTCCGGCTGTCCGACGAACGACGAGAAAAAAAAAGACGCGCACGGAAGGTAACAAACCAACTGGATACATAGCCCGCGCAAATCAAATCATCAAAAGTTTGTATCCCGCATGGCCGAGCCATTTCCGTGCCGGGGTTATATTTCAAGAGAGGATGCACTGTCATGAGCGTCTCGTACGCGGACCACACCTCGCAGTCCGGAATGTAGAGCATAAGTAAAAAAGGGAAGGCAATGCGCGCACCTCGCTCTGATGATAGCTCTTGCAAAGCACTTTGGCGCTGCTCTTCGCACCACTCTCGATCCCCAGCGCGGCCTCGAGGAACGCACACACGCCGAGGCCGAGGAGGTGGAAGGGGGAATCGTCGGACTGGAAGGCGGTGCGCAGGGGGGCGATCTGGTTCAAGAAGAGGGCGTCGAAGCCCGCGTTGGCGGAGGCGAGCGCGAGGGCCGTGGGCGATGTGTCTGCCGGCGAGGAGGTCTTCGGGAGCGGGGAGGAGCCGTTGCCCTTCGTCGAGGCTGCCGTCGAGGGTGCGGGGGACGGCGTGGAGAGGGCGGGTGGCGTCGAGTGCGCCGACGACGAGGACGGTGTGTCCATCGCTGCTGGTGCTGGTGGCAAAAGACAGAGCCGCAATTCGTCACTTGCCATCGCACGTGCGGCTTCGCTGATAAATCTCGCTTAGTCACAAATTCGATTGAGTGCGCCCGGCGGGCTATTTCAGCTCCTGCTTGCCGTTTCTTGCTTGCCGTTGACCGAAGACGAACGAAAAGACAAAAGAACCGGAGGACGAGAAAAAAAGAGAATTTAATCCCAAGGCATGCCCCCAGTAGGATTCGAACCCACAGCTTCCTCAGAAACCTCGTGGGATAGTGGTGATGAAATGAGAGAGGACGATCTACCGTTGATCCACAGGGGCTTGCATGTTCCTGCGTAATGTCAGCTGAACATAGGTCGGATAATCAAGGACCGTGGAAATGTGAATAGAGAATAGTACTCCCTAAGCCGTGAATTGCTGACGTGTGGCGGAATTCACCTCAGAGTCAACTCTCGGGATCTTACAGGCTGCAATTGTTTACAGCAATCTTCCTCGAGGGAAGAAAACATGATGTACTGGAAATTCTATGCCCCTCCCCGCAGCGCTAGCATTCCATCAGCCTATATATGTCGTCCTCCAAAATTTTATGGGCGGGCCGATAGAGAGAGGTCAATCTATAATTACTCCAGGGGGCCATAAGTCTGCTCGACTTCACTGGAGTATTATTATTGACCACACTAATCAGCGAAAGCCCAAATACGGAATGGCAGAGCCTCATTCCGCGGTGGACGCCTGAATCCTCCCTTGGTGCAAAACCTCCGACTTCCGGCGCTGTGCCTCTTGACGCAAGCCGCTCCTCAACCGGTTCCAAGGATACGCGCCAAACGGAACACATAAGCTAGAAGCTACTAGTTCACTGATGTAGACAAAACCAAAAACAAAAGCATATTAGTCGTAAACTATGCCCCTAGCGGGATTCGAACCCACGCCTTCCTCACAAATCTCCTTACCATATGATTTGAGAGGACAATCTACCGTTGATCCACAGGGGCTTTCACACCTTGCAGTCCATATCCCATTGTCTACCCCTGCGAACAAAATCATTTATATGCAAGCCTGGAGCCTTTATAAAGCTGCACCGCCGACGAACCGCAAGGATAAAAACCTTGGGTGTAGGGCCACGGTATGTCCCCATCCTTATTTTATTTTATTTCATTCCACACCTGTTGTAGCCAGCAATTCGTATCCCCAACTATCTCCCGGGAGCTCAAATGTAGGGCGACTTTGGAATAGTTGTCCCCTGCCTCCCAAACTTTTCCGTTCTACTGGATAAGCCAGGAATATAAAGTCCGTTGAGCCTAAGTGTTGAACCTGATCAGAGAAGGTTGGAACCTGAAGATCCCCGCGAGTGATGGATGAATCGCCAGCTGGTTTGGTGGCTTTCTGAGCTGGTCTCGGAAAGATTTTTGTCCGAGGGGAAGGAATGCAGTATCAGTGATTCCAGATGTGTCCCTGGACCAATCTTGCTGTCCGCCCACCCGAGCCTCGACAGCTAGTTTATCACATGGCGTGTTTCGCAGACCATTTAAATGCGAACTAAAAGTTCCCGGGAAGTTGGTGAGGCCCAACAATGACAAAGACAACAATTGTGTTGGAATAATGATCGGAAGGTAGATAGGTTGCACTGAGCTGTTAGGCTTTAGGTTACAATCTCCTGAAGAGATTGGCCTACTACCCCCAGCTTATATACTACAGAGGAGGTAAACTAGAATATTCTACAAAAGTCGGAAGTGCTCCACATTAGTAAGAAGATGACTAAGGCACCTCGGGGATTGGGCAGATTGCCGCTTTCGGCTATTCCGCCAACAAATTGGTCACGGGGTCTCAGATCTCTGGATCGGGCAGACTGATGGGAGACCCCCCCCCAGATTAGGAAGGTAAGTGATGGGCCAAATCCTATGCTCCCTCTCCCTGCCTCAGGGTAGTAGAGTACAACAAATATGTCTGTAGTGCATACTGATGCTCTACAAGGGCATAAATTCCCTGTGGATGAACCAACCACCGTCCTCATCCTCTTCGGCTTTGCTTCGGCCGCCAATCCGAACCATACACGTGATCTGCCACGCGAGCTGATCAATATGCAAGATCCAGAGATCTGACGCCTCTTGCAATTGGTACTGGAGTACCTATGCGTAGATATCAAAGACAGTCGCCGTTTGCCCATCAATAAGCAACAGGGCCTCACGGGTTTTAGGGCAGTCGGGAGTTGCCAATTCTTTCTTTAAAAAAGACTTTGCACTTTGTCTTTCGCAAGAGCACAGCTGCATCCGCTCCGCGGAGGATTCACGGCGTCTAATAGACCAAATGGGGTGTCTGACCGGAGCCCAGACCCAGTTCCTCCGACCTGTCTTGTACGTGAACCTTCAAACTGCGCATGCCATTCCGAGCGACGCCACATGTGCAATGCCTAGACTCGTCACTAGTCTGCATACAAATGGCAACAATGTGGCGAGCACGAGGTATTGAGGGATCTCTTGCCCCAAACATCTTTCTCAGGTGTCGGACTTGAAGAACAGGGTGATGAGCAGTGGTGCACGTGGATCACGGTAGATATGTAGGTAGGTAGTATTATACGGCCGGTTCCGCTTAGGAACGTCGGTTCCCAGGGAGTAACGAAGAATGCGGAATAATGGTCGAATTTGGCGGTGGCATCGGAGGCAAACAACCGCCAGTTCAGTTCCCTTCCGCGGCAAGTCAATCCGACGGCGCTCGCACAGCCTTTACCACCCTTGAATTTCACTATAATTGCGGTCTCAGTGATCTCAGTACGCTCGGACACACTCCGACAACTCAACCAATTAATTTCGCAGTTCATTTTATCTTGCTGCTGCGCCCCCATCCTGCGAACGAGCTAATAAGCTTTCGCAGGACACGCTCGCGAATCCCAGCACACCCCATCCGCTTTTATTTTGGTTTTGGCTCCGCTCTCAGCCGCGCCGTAGGCGCATCAACGGGGAATATAGAGCGAGCACGGAAGGATAAGACGAAATGTGGCACATTCAATAAACCCAGGGACTTGTTTCAGGTGCACGGTCGAAGTTCCAGCCTGTGCTGAATAATGAGAGCTGACACTGGCACCCGCCAACGAATGGAGAGTTTCGTTGACCGCCATCACATGCCAGCATACATCCCTTTTACCATACATACAAGATAGTGCATGTATCATGCGTTTCAGCCACCGAATTTTAATATAATACTGGCGTTTTCGTCCGAGCGGGGTTTCAATGGCATTGACATTCGGCATGTTCGACAGATAACGTTGGGACACAACACGCTCACGTAAGGCCCGGCTTCTGCATTGACATTTGCGCCATTCGCAAGTAGAAGAGCGGCGACGCATTGATATCCGCGCCATGCGCACGGATGCGACTTGCAATGCGCTTCCGTGTTCTGCATTTTCCTATAGAAGACGCAACACGTTCCGAGTGGGGCTTCTACATAGTTAGGATATACACTGTGTTCAGACCCCCCCCCGTAGGCACGGATGTGCCTACGTATGCCGCTCTCTGCCGAGGTGTGACTACATAAGCCGACGTTGGCCGATGTTGGTCTATCACCTCGGTCTATGCGAGGTCGGTCCACGTTTGTCAATCTTGGCCGACGGTGGTGTGCCTATTGTGTCCAACCCTGGTCTAGCTAAGTCCAGGTTGCTAGCCGTCGATGTTAGATCCTGGATTTGCCCCAGTTGTAGTGGGGGTTACTGAGGTGTACAGCTGAGAACGCGGGCAGCCGGGATGATGCGCGAGGTTAGCTAAGTATTACGGCGTCCGCGTGACTTCTGACAGTTATTTGAAGACTGATAAGCCATTGATAAATCCTGATAAGCCAGCAAGGGTGTTCGAGACTGACGAAGAGTCAAAACCCGTGTTTGAGATGACCTCACCCACCACCACCATCAAAATGTGCCGGGCAGCTGCCCGGGGCCTACGACAGCCTTTGGTCCAACCTTCAGCTTTGCTTCTACCCAGGACGAGCTCACAACCCAGCACTGACACCTCTGCTCTCTTCTCGACTCTGCCCTAGCCACCCTGACCCTGATAAACACGACTTAGGGTCCAGCCTGCCTGCCGTGGCCCCGCACGTCGTACATGTTACCCAGGCCCTCCATCACTATATTACCAACGAGACCCAGACCCAGACCCACAACCCTCCCACCACTGTTTCCAGTAGTCTTGCTGCTGCCCAACACCCACGACGACACCCCAACACCTGCGCCAGCCGCGTATGCTGTGATTGCCGATCCCCATCGCAAATCCCCATCACCGATCACGCTCCCTGACAAGCACCGTCCCTCTCGTTCGGCTTCCTGCAGTCCTCAAAGGCTGGAGACAGCGCACATCCCACGGGTCGTCCTCCGTTTTGACCTGAAGCCGGGCCTTACCCCGGTTCGGGCTGACTCTGCAGGATTATACCTTGCAATTGAGGAGGCACTGTCAATGGCTGGGCCCCTCAGTGGTGTCCACTGGAGCCACCATGGCAACCTGGTCCTGCATCCCACACCCGACAAATGCACCGAGAAATTCCTCCTTCTCCGCAGTGCCCAGATCTGGGATGCCATCCGCCCCCTCCTTGAGTTACCCGACAACTGCCCCCACCCCCTATTTGAGGTTGACAAACCTTGGCACTCGGTGGTCTTTCATGGCATCCCCAGAGCTTCTTCGACTGGATCCATTGACTGCGAGGGTGTGGAGCTATGGCTTCGCGCCGATAAACACCTCATTGGCACGGTGAAAGTTTTCTCCATACTATGCCACCCAGAAGAGTTCGCAACAAAAAGCTCCATCGCTGTTTGAGTGTCCCTTTCATCGGAAGCGGATGCCCAGTGGCTGGTCCAGAATGGTGGTTGCTTCTATGGCACCAAGTGCAGAGTTACACATTACGCTAAAACACCATGGTCATCCCCACGCCCGTTGTGCTACTGGTTAAGTGTTTCCCATAAAAACAGGGAAATGTTCGCCAGAGTCCTTATCAGTGATACCAAGCAAATTAAACTGACATGTGTCACCTGCATCTCGCCGAGCATCCCTGAACCATTGAACCAACACCGAACCTCACAACAGCATGTGGTCAGCGCACAAAGCAAAACCCGCAGTAACACACAGGAAAGCACAGTCAAGTGAGCATAGGAATGCACAGTGCACAGTTGGTTGCACAGTATGCACAGTTGATAGCACAGCCCGTAGATACAGTATATAAAGCCTCTGTAAACCTAGATAGAAATTAATTAACCCCCCCACGAATTAACCACTCACTTCCAACTTTGAGCTCACAATCCTGAGAAACTACTGAAACCGAACCTTTTCTACGCTGAAACTACAAGAGCATAGAATAAGACCTATATGAGCTTTCGTCCGGCCAAACTGTTAAAATAGATTAATGTTTCGACCTGAGCTAGCCTCGCACCGATTTAGACATACGAAGGAAGTTACCGAAAGACTTCCCACACTCTGTCACCGATCCAAACAAACACCGCACCGCCTCCAAAACCTCTACCGCTTGCGGGTAACAATTTCCTATAAATATCACTGATTAGTAGAACCCTTGGATCTAAGAACCTATACAGGGATATTGTGATTAACGATACGTCACTAATATCTCTGGAGTAAACTTTTACTCGGAGCACACCGTCCCCATCCCTCTGCTGATGCTCTGGTTCATCTTTCCTCAAACTCCTTCACATTCTAATTTCTATGTGCCCTCCTCCATGTCTATCTTCTGTTATACCCCTCTATACCTATCATATATATCATTGTGCTCGTGCGGCCTACACCCCCATACCATACTCTCTCCCTAACTCACAGTGTCTTGACGCACCCGTCCAATATTGACCTCATGTGGGTCAACGGACAAATTGCCGTAGCCTCTTACACTAGATATGCACCCAACAAACTACTTATCATTAGATGTAGTGTAGTAGGATCCCTACCGTATCATACACGATAGAGGGGAAATAAAATTGAGTCAAAAAAAAAAAACCCCCCGTGTTTGAGAT